GAGCATGGCTACTCTAGTGAAGAGAAGGAAAAGGGGAGACATGATAGCAGTCTTCCAATATTTGAGGAACTGCCACAAAGATGGAAGGGTCAAGCTCTTCTCCAGAGCATTTACTACAGAACAGTTGAGCTAAGCCATGCCCAGGCTCCTTGCTGTCTCCTTGCTCACACAGCAAATGCCTCTGCCTACTAGCATCCATCTGTATTCATCTGACTAGCGTCCTGTCAGTGTGTGAGAGAATTGAGGACTGTTTGGAAACTGAAAGAGTATTTGCTGTGTGAGCAAGAAGCTTGGGCGTGGCTTAGCTCAACTGTTCTGTACTAAAGCTGCTTGGTGCTGTGAAATTGAAACTGAAACCCCTCTCCTCTGCTTGTGTTTTGCATTTGGAAGAGATTTCTTTTCAGGTAACACTTAGCATCAGAGTGTAACAATAACAATAATATAGGAAATACTCTAAATGCTCTGATGGTCATTTCAAAAAATCCTTTCTTAGTGAGCCCCTAGAGGCCAAATGGAAGATACGTGTCAAATTTCAAGTTTATAGGCTTTACGGTTCTGGAGACTTTGTGATGATGCCTGAGTGGCATTTCGCTTTTATATAGATAAATACAGTATATGATCATAATTACGATGATGATATTTGTATGTTAACACCGTGGACACCTAGAGAATACTCTGTTCAACACAGAAAGGAAATGTTTGATATAAAACAATAAAAAATATTTTAAAAAAAGAATTGGGATGCTTGGCAACTGACTCGTATTAACGACTGGGTGGCTCACTTAACAGCTGCAGGGATTCCCTTAACCAAGTTGGTTTGAGAAGTCGTAACGTGGGGACGAAAATCACTTAGCCATTGCCTCGTTTTGGAACAAAAAAAAATTGAGTTTCTAATGCATTCGTATACTGAGGACCAGGGTTTTTTTTAGAAGTGTGGCCTAGGAAGAAATAATTTAAGCATGAGATTTAATCCTCAGCGCCACCTACATAAAAATGCAGCATGCAAATTGGGGTGCTGGTATATTTTTTTAAAAAAGTATGGCTAATTGGTCGAAATGAAAGTTAACTAGAGTTGGCAATAAAATCAAAGTTGAAAAGAGGTGGTTTTCTACGGCACGAATTAGCCCAAAGACTTGGAAAATCTCTGTTGTGTATGCCGAGTTGTGAGACATTTTCCATTCTTTGCGGGTTCTGGAGGAAACACAATGGCATTAAAAAGGGGCGGGGCTTGGTACAATTTTGGCTGCCATCTTAGCCTTTTTTTTTTAATTCTGTCCCCATCCCCTGGTCTGTTTATTTCTTTAAAAATAAAGATACGTTGATGAAATAAAAGAAGATTTCTTCGGCTTTCTCTCAGGAAAATAGCTGAAATAGCCCCACTTATTTTTGTTTTGTAATTCAGTGGCATAGTGGCATGCCAATTAGTGTACAATCAAGGTGACAATAAAGTTATTCTAAGTTGGCCTACAACTTATTTGCAGAGGTGACATTACAACTATCATAACTCACCTGGGCATAATTACCATAATTCTTCTCTGAAGTCCTTTCCTGGAGGTTCAACCACAGACCAGACCTTCCTTGCTGAATGTGGTTTTTCTTTGCAAAAAGAAAAAAGAAAGAAAGAAAGAAGAAAGAAAGAAAAGAAAGAAAGAAAGAAAGAAAGAAGAAAGAAAGAAAGAAAGAAAGAAAGAAAGAAAGAAAGAAAGAAAG